ACAAGGGACCCCTTATGTCATATAAAATAACAACGCATTATCACTGACAATCTCTGGGGCCGTGTCTTCGATTCAATCATCGGTTATTGTTTCACAGAGTGTTTCCAACCGTTTGCAATAAAATTTATATCAGTATATACAACGTTTACAAAGAAAAAGTAGTATTCACGCTCAAAAAATAGAAGACGAAATGAGATTTTGATGAGGAAAATAAAACAAAATTTTCGTGAGTCAAATAAAGTAACTGTTGCCAACAATCATTTACAATGTTAAATACACTTTAAACGTTTTGCTCACATCCCAGATCACGGCGAAGTTTTTGACCAGAAATTGTTTTGTTTTAGGGCGGTCATCGATCGGCTTGGACCCCTGTGAGGTAGCCACACATGACCATTAACCTTCAGTCTCATGTTAGCCTCAAACCAAGATTCACATTGGATAGAATCATTGAGTGGCGCTGGTCAAGGCTTAAAATCATTAGAGTCAGCCTTTACTGAACCCAACTTTAACTGTGATTACGAATAAACATGTCGCCATAGGGATTTATGCCAATCATTGGCGGTTTTCTGTGATCTCAAATAATGCTGTAAATCATGAAACAACAATAATAATAATAACGTTTGCATTTGATATAGCGCTTTTCACGTCGGGAGGATGTCCCAAAGCGCTTCACAGAACACACTGTAGAGTGAATTGGTTGTATATTTGTGGGCGAACGCGGCAGCCAATTGCGCACAGCAATGTCCCACAAACAGTGGTAGATTGAAAATGACCAATGTATTATTGTTTTGTTTTGTTGGAGGGACGCGAGGATCAGCCGATGCAGAGCTCAGGAGATTCCTTTTGATTCCCAATCGGAAGCTGTCTGTCCTGCTCGGTGTCATAGTCACAGTCAACATCATCAAAATCAGAATCACTCTGACTGGTGTCAACAGGAAAATGCGGGTCACTGTCCATATGAGATCCACCATCTGTAGAGAGAACAATCATTAATTAGTAATTATATTCAGATTGGATACACTGTATGTGTGTGTGTCTGCGTGTATATGCTGTGTATATCTGCCTTAGTGTGTGTGTGTGTGTGTTTGTGTCAATGGATGTGTGTGCCTGCGTGCGTTTGTATGTTGATGTGCATATCTCGCGCTTGTGTGTGCTGTGTGTTTTTGTATGCCAGTGTTTGTGTGTGTTTCTATGTGTGTGACTGTGTGTGTTTGACTTTGTGTCTCTGAGTGCTTGTGTGTGTGTGTCTGTCAATAGGTGTCAGCGCCCACTTATGTTTGTAACTAGGTGTCTGTGTGTTTGTGCAAGTCAGAGCAACATTCCACATATATAATTATTGACATTACAAAAGCCTCGTAGATGTCTTCAATAACTCGAAAAATATATGTGTTTTTGTATGTGTTTGTTTTAATGTGTGTGTGTGACTGTACGTTTCTATTCATGTTTCTACATAGGTATCTACAGATGCTAACTTAGCTCTGTGAGTTGGTATTAACATACTCTGCGATTTTTTGATGCTTTGGTTATGTACCTGTATGCATGTGTTTAGCTGCCTGTGTATGTGAATTCAAGTAAAATATGCTCGTGTGCTTAGTTCAATTTCAGAGCTATTTGTGTCTGTTGGATTGTTTATGCATCGATGTTCACGGATGAGCTATGCATTTGAGCTTGTATGTCTTTAATTTCAGTTTGTGCATCTTTACAAATACATACGAACATATGTAATTAAATAGGGATATTAACAACAGGAAAGCGTATTAACAGTAGAGATACCTGTACGTAGAGGACGCAAGATAGTTTTATCGAAATTGATCTGTACAATCATCGCAAACAGTACCACTGATAACAGGATTCCAAGCACGATGCAGGCCACGAAAGGGATGTTGATAAGCTGGGCTTTGCAAATCAAGGACACAACATTTGTTATTTTTTTGTTTTATTACATTTGATTGTCACACTTTTTGAAATTATAATGAAAACTACACCGTACCCTTTAACGAAAGTTACCTTCAGCCAAATATTACACAATGTATGACATACTACACAGTTTAGTTAGAAGACTGCCAAAACCATCTTAACCTTTGTATATATGGAGCTGTTTTCCTGAAGTTAAACAGCCTGTTAATTATTAAACAGATCACTTCTGACAAGATAGTTTACAAATATACCGGCACTAAGTATAAATCATTGTTTACAAATCAATGCAAATACAGTCTAGGAAAGATACGCAACATATTACAAAGAAAGCAATTAATTCTATTATTTACCAGATGATGTTGGACGGATTGTCAGTCTGCGAGGTTCACGACCTGTAAAGCATCACATCCACCATTAATCCAGTAATAATTCTAATTCTGCCTTGAATTGAAGCCAGAATGAATCTGCGTTTGTCAAGAATATTAAAAAAAACAATTGAGTGATCAGATCCCTACCTGAGCAAACCACACCAGCATCTTCTTTATGAACGCAGTCACTTTGACCCGCGGATGAAGTGACACAATCCCACAGAAAGGATTCACTTCCTCTACAGTGAAGCTCGTCCAACAATATCTGACCAGCGCCTTGTCCAAACCCCGCCTGTCCCACAGCCCGCACGGCGGGGCCGCAGTCCAGCTGTCTGCACACCACACTGGCCTCTCGGATATCCCAGGAGTCGTCACACACCGTCCCCCACGTGTTATTGCTCAATACTTCAACTCTCCCAGAGCAAATGCTGCTTCCTCCAACCAACCGCAACTCCTGTCCTGAATGCACAGTATTCATATCACGGATGTCAGTTATCCACACAAACAAAATACACATAATGTCATCAAAGCATTTACCCATAAACTGTTACTTATAGTATAAGATTAATTATTCCATATAAATAAGCCTTCAAAAAAGATAGTAATAATAATAATTTGGTCACGCAATCCACGACAGTCTTGGGCCATTGTTAATTACACAAACAAATAAAATAGGCATTCTTCCTCAATAGCATCAAACGAATTTGTCCTACTAAGTAATATTTATAGGATAAGTTTAATTATCCTGTAAATAATCCTTCAAAAATAGATAATAGAAATTTCGTCACTCGATCCACAACTGCTTATGGGAAACTGCTGTACACAATTGGTTGCTGCGTTTCGCCTGCAAATATACATTCCATTCACTTTCCCATATATTCTGTGAAGCTCTTAGACACGTCCAGAAGACATTTTGTCAAACGCGAGGATTATCACGCTTTCTGTTATGCAGTCGATGAACGTTACAGTGATACTGTGAAGCGCATTTGCTAATCCTCCTGATGTGAATGGTTTGATAGCAAATACAATTTCTATTCATTATTTTTTTTCCATTCAGTACCTGATAAATGATGCTGATCAGGTGTCCTCCCAAGGCACTGTTTTGTACCATCCGTTTTTTTCGTTGCTTTCTCTGCATTAAACATAAATTTATAAGCGAAGTGCTTCCAATTGAAACACGATCATTATTTACTCAGATATTTTAACTGTAGAATATTTTTTACCTGAACAAATTACACCCACATCCTCGGAATGTTCACAGTTATGCTCACCCCAAGGTGGTGAGAGACACTGCCACAGGAAGGATTCCTTTGAATTACAATCTATGTCATCCAGCCAAATAGGTCCAGATCCTTTGCCAAATTTACCATCATAATCTACAGTCAGAGCTTGGCCACAATCTAACTGTTTGCAGATCACCTCAGCAGCTTTCATTCTCACGGACTTCGAGCAGACTGTGCCCCAGGTCCCATTGTAAAAGATTTCCACTCTCCCCTCACAGGAACGTTGCCCATTTACCAGCCGCAGCTGCTTGTGCTCTGTAAAAGGATAGTGCTGGATTTAGAAATTTAGCGTGGACCAATGTTTGTTTAATTGAGTTTATTAACCGTGTTGGAAAACAGCCTTGGCATCATCTCCTCCTGTGTTAATTTATGAACCTTAACCGTGGTTACGCGATCCGCGGTTTCAACCCGCAAACTTCTGACTGAACAGTGAGAGTGCTGGCAACAGAGCTCGGCTGACACAGCATTTAATCTCTTACCTGAACACACGATGCTCACGTCTTCTTTATGATAACAGTCATGCTGCCCCCATGGAGAGGATGCACATTCCCAGAGAGCTGATTCCTTTCCTGAGCATCTCACCTCATCCAACCAAACTGGCCCTGAGGCTCGCCCGCAAGAGGCAGCAGCTGTTGCATTAACAACAGATCCACATCCGAGCTGTTTACACGCAACATCCGCCTCAAGTGATCCCCAGGAGTCATCACATACCGTCCCCCAGGATCTATTGTAGTAAATCTCCACTCTCCCAGCACACGAACTCCCACCTTCCATCAGTCTGATTTGAACATCTTCTGTTGAACAGAAACAAAGATAGAACATGGTATTAGGTCCTCTGCCGGCTGCCAAATCTATTTTGGTTAAACTTAACTCGACCCCAACGTTACACATTGCTCACAATCAACCTCAAAATAGATGATGGTCAAAAGCAAAAAGCAGCTAAGCCATAACAATAATCTTTGTATGTGATCTAACACCCTCTCATGTGCTCGAGTCATCTGAAAGCGCTTCACATATTATAAAGTGAAGTGAATTAACTGTACGTTCTGTGAAGGAAATGCGGCAGCCAGTCGAGCATTGCAATTTCCCATAAACAGTCATGAATTGAGTGACCAAGCTGTGAATCAATTTATTGAATGATTTATCGATTCTTTGTTTGCTTCTTTGCTTGGCCGATTGGTTGTCTGATCGTTTGAGAGATTGATCGATTGATTGATTGACTGATTGCTTGATTAACTGATTGATTCTTTGGTTTTTGGTTGCTCGACTGATTGATTGATTAATTGATTGATTGATTGAAGGCATCATGAAACAACCCGCCCCCCCCCCCTCCCGCCCACAAACGCACACCCCAATCCGACAAACCACGCACCAATCGAGGAAAAACTGGCAACTCAATTCTAGTATTGAAATGTATATTAATGGCAAAAGTTCACTCACTGGAACACTGCACTCCAACATCACTCATGTTCCTAATTGATTGATTTAGCCTTGATGGCTTGCACTTCAAAATATGTGATTCACTTCCTTGACACTGAACATCTTTCAACCATCGGGACCGTTTATCTTCTCTGTACGACGGGGAGCTATAGGCTGTTATGGCAGCACCACAGGCCAGCTGTCTGCAAACCACATTCGCATCATATAAATCCCAGAACTGATCCTGCACTCTACTCCAGTTTCCATTGCGGTAAATTTCCACTGTTCCAGAGCAGGAACTGCCACCATCCACCAGCCTAAGCTGTTTGTGATCTGTTGCAATTGTAAAATAAAACTTCAGGTGTCCTTTAGGGAAAAACACTACGTTTGCTTTATAATGTTATTCAGCATCCGAATATTAATTGTTAGTCAATATAATGAGAGAGTGTGAAACATCATCATGTATGATTGCCATTCGCCTATCACAGCACATTCGTAAAACTATAATTCAATGGTATCAATAATTCAATGATATCGGACGTTTGTACTTCAATGGAGTAAGAGACGCTTACGGACAGCGAGGCATATTGTAATTTATTTAACAATGTGATATTAAAATTGACAATTATTGATTCTATTTATCAGTAAAATGCACTCACCTGAACAAAGAACTCCCACATCACTGCTGCTCCTAGAGGGTGAAGCCACTGTGGAAAGTGGGCAGTTCCAGATGTGCGTCTCAGTTCCGACACACTGAACATTATTGATCCACACAGGTCCAGTGCCTTCCCCGTACTGGGAAAAGTTGTAGATTGAAATAACAGAGCCACAGTTCAACTGTCGGCAGATGACATCGGCATCCGATACATTCCAGGAATCATCCAGCAATCTGCCCCAGGTGCCGTCATGATAAATCTCCACTCGCCCATCACAACGGCTCCCACCGCTCTCTAACCGTAAATGCCACCGTTTACCTGCAACCATTTCAATCGACAATTTTTTATTCAAAATTTGTGAGAACTGAAGTCAAGATAACCACAGCTACTGATTATTAAAACATGGCCGTTTGTGTTTGACAACACACCTGACATCGTGACTTGAAAACTATAATAAAGTAGAAATAACAACAAACTTTCGCAGTCTGCAATGTTGCCCGATTTACGCAACAAAAACAGACAATGACAGCAGCCTCCAGCCCAATAACTCAACAAATATCAATCTAATGCGTTAGGAAGGTAAGACACGCTACCAACAGGAGAAGAATGTAAACAATTATTGCAATTGTAGCAGAAGAGCTTTGTGGTAACATCAGGACCAGCCTACAATGTAGGAGTGAGGCGTTCCGCCGTGACTCAGGAGAATATGAGGCTGCGCTCTCGTTTGTAAAGACTCGGGGTAAAGTTGCTCATCTTGAAAATCTAAGGAAGTCGTTGATTTGTTTTGTGCTCAGTTTTAGCGACTGAAATTGTTGTCACCAGTGGTACTTGAGTAATATCTTGTCATGCATGCTATTCTTATATTAGATCGATGTTATTTATTTTAAAAATGTGTGAAAGATAATGTCTCAACTGTTTTATAGTTATTGGCTTTTCGTCTATAAAGCAGACAGTTACTATACTTTACAGGCTACCTCTTGAAGCGTTTTGAGACATCTGAACTACTTAATAAGTCGCTTTGTCAAACAAATGTTTATTATTATTGCACTCACCCGAACATGCAACAGTAACGTCATGGTCATGTGTGCAGCTGAACTTCTCCCAGAATGAAACAGGACAGTCCCACAGTAGGGACTCGTTACCAATACAATTGAAGTGAGTTTTCCAGATACGATTTCTTTGTATCCCAAACTGTGCTTCGGGACCAGTTGACAAAGCAAACCCGCAATCCAGTTGCCTGCATAGCACATCAGCATCTTGTAAATCCCAATAATAATCACAGATGGAACCTGATTCATAATCGCGCTGAAGTTTAACTCTGCCAGAACAGTTGTTGTTTCCACCGATTAACTTTAAGGAATGATATTCTGTAGTGGAAGAATTAACGAGAAATAGATTATTATTACCAGAATAAAATGAGTAACACAAAGAAAGGCCTTAGAAATTAGTGATTTACAGAAACATTTGTTGCAGACAGCAAGCAAATGAAAGCTGAAACAATGATCAGGTATGTAGTCTCAGAAATCTACATGTAGCTTCATGTCGGGTGACTACGGTAGTGTTTCAAATATGAATTTACCTCCAAGTGTTTAATCTGGCGAATAAACAATACAATATTCAACTATTCATGCACGTTATTAGGGCATCACAGACTGTTTAACAGCATCTGCTGTGCAACAATCTGAGAGGATGAGCAGCCAAGTTATGAGATAAATCATAGTCTATAAGCGAGGTTTATAATCTTTCTCTATTTTACAGTAATTTGTCAGTTTGACACAGAATGCGCAGAAGCAACATATCTTTGGTATAGAATGTTATCATTGGTGTCGTTCCCTCCTTCCGTGTGGCTGAAGAGATCGACAGTGCAGGAGAATTTTTTCAGTGCCCCGTGAAATGCTTTGTATAAATGATTATTATTGTCAGTGTCTGACAGTAGAACATGATCAATTATGTTGAACCACGTGTCGTACTTCTCACATGGTGATAATTGTTGGTCCTGTTGCCCATCCCGATTTTCCCCATTGTTTAATATAAAAAGTAATTTAAATGTCAACCACGTAGAGCATATTCTGTTTAATAATGTCCCTAGGTCGATGTCATATATGTTGGCACTTTAGTGAAACCTGTACCTGAACAGATTATGCCACCGTCTCGCTCGTGTCCGCAGGCAGGCCGACCAATAACAGGCCCTGATCCTTCTCCAAAGCGAGAGTCACCGGATACTGATACAGAAGATCCACATCCCAAATATTTACAAATATATCTTGCCAACTCCATGCTCAGGGTATCTCCACAAACTGACCCCCAAGTCTCCTTGGTATACAGCTCTACTCTCCCCATACAGCGGCTGCTTCCATTCACCAGTCTGGGACTTTCAGTTCCTGCCAATTATAGAAAATGTATCATCATCAAGGATGCTTTCAACGTTATATGCAATAAAATACAAGAACTGGTATTAATCTCGCGCCCTGCAGACAACGTAGTGTCCCAGATCGCTTTTTAATGCCATATAATTGCGAACGGGTTGCTTTGGTCTTTCCCAGTTTATCATCAGATATGCATGGAGTGATGCATACTGGAGACGTTGATATGGTGTCCAAAAGGCCACAGATCCCATAATCTCATCAGATTATGTATCTAATGAAAATAATTCATACTACATCTGTTTGTGGGAATCTGGTGGGAGAAAAACATACCCTGTGAAAGGAAATAATCTGTGGTTTGCGGAGCTTTCAATTTCAAAAGTCTGTTTAGAATCAACTGAAGACATTAAGCATGTGTATGAGGACGTGCAGTAAGCTTTTGACTTCCTTGGGAAAAGCTGGAGGAGTCAAGCGAAATATACGTTTGGGGACAGAAGACTCCAGTCCAAATGTTGTGGTTAAATAGTTGGATATGTAGATCTGAAGAAATGCTCGTGGGATCCAACAAGGATGGCTTCGGTTTTGTCACACTAATTTGACATAATTATTGCTCATCAATACTGATTGTCTAGGCAGTCGGTTGTGGCAGCAGAGTTTTGGAGTGATGGAAATTTCAAATTCAAGCATTCCTGATAAATGGCTTTTCTCGTCGGGATGACGTCCAAAATGTCTTCTCTGGATTCGATGAAGAATTCAATCTTTCTGTATTTTCTTGGTGGAGAAAATAGCATTTGTGCCCAAACTTCAAGAAATGTTACCAAGAGTGGTGTGGGGATAACGAGGGGACGATACTCCTGTTAGAACACTAGTTTGTTGATCAATTACAAATTTAATTTCAGATTTCAATAATCCTTATTTTTATTATTGCAACATTTATGACAGTAGGAGTCTCAAAGCTCTTCACAAGATCTACTGTAAAGTTTAATGAATGTGCATTGTCTGAGACAGATAACTCGGTAAAGGGAAAATGTGTTTCAACTAAAACAACAACTTGTAATTATGTAACACATCCAGGATCGGTTAACAGTGGCTGACCCGGAGTCGGGGGGTGGGAGTAAATGACACCTTAGCCAAGTGACTCAAAATCAGAAAGGAGCTGGCCAGGCGTAGCGATTGAGTGATTTTATTGGATGACATACTAATCATTACCATAAGGACACACTGCACCTTTGAATATAAGCCTTTCACCGGGATCCCTAACGTATGGATTAAATAATAATAATACACTCACATAGGATATGTGATACAATCTTTATTAGAATTTGTCAAGTTGTGTTTTACCGAAGATAGGAGGACTGAAAAAAATGATCAGAGAATGATTTACCTGCGCAGATGACGCCGACATCAGAGGAGTGTGACCAGGAATAGTGATACCACGGCCATGACTCACAATCCCTCAGAGTAGACTCACTCCCTCTGCGCCGAACATCCCACGTCACAACGGGACCCGAACCCCTCCCAAAGTGAGCGCCTCCTGGTGCTGACAACGCGTCTCCACAACCCAACTCCTTACACACCACAGCCGCGTCCAGCATATCCCAACCATAATAGCCAGAGTCATCCACTGTGCCCCATTGTCCGCCATGGTAAACCTCCACTCTCCCGGCACACGGGCTCCCTCCATTCACCAGCCGCAAAAGATCTGCTAAATGATCACAGGCAACAAGCGTTTGTATTTGCTTCCCAAGCACGTAGGATGATCATAATTATAAGAATATTCCTCATAATTTAACCTGGCTGCCGCGTTTGCCTACACAATCACTATTACTTAGATTAAGCGGATGAAGAGGTTTGCAGTCTGTATCAATGCGTTGTATCAAATACAGAGGAAATCATGAATGGGAATTCATAATGTTTTACAGAATAAAATACTTTGAAATGTGCACATGTCCTCATATGTCCGCTGGCACCTACAGGTTCAGCGCGATGAGGGACAAAGCTCTTCCAATTGTATAGTTCATACAAGAAGATAGGTAAACGTGAACTGGAATCTACGTTTTGATGGTCAACCGTGATTCCTCTTTTGGGTCACATCGGAAAATCTTACTATTCGAGAGTACCTACGGTCAACTGCCTCTTTCTCCAGGGTCGGTGTCGCCTGCAAAGCGGAGCCATTGAGGGATTGTCTTAGATGAAATATTAATCGTTACTCTAAGGACATACTGCGCAATTCATTATATTTGAGTTCCGGTCTGAAAACAAGTCTGATTCAAGGATTGAAGCCACTCCTTAGTAGAAAAAGAGAGAATAAAGAAAATGAACATTGATCTGCGCCGGAGGTTGAGTATTAGGGGGCAGCGTGACACCCTAAAGCTAAGGGATTTGAAAATAATGAACTGACATAGTGCGGAATACAATCATTAACACTGTTTCTCAAACTGTGGCTTACCGAAAATAAGGGGAGATATTAAAAAACTTCATGGAATGAATTATTTACCTGTGCAGATGACGCCGGTATCATAGGAGTGTGACAACCAGGAATAGTGACCCCAGGAACCTGAAGGACATTCCTTCAGGGCAGACTCACTCCCTTTGCACTGAACATTATACGTCACAACGGGACCTGAGCCCCTCCCAAAGTGAGCGACTCCTGATGCTGAAAGTGCCGCTCCACAGCCCAACTCCTTGCACACCACAGCCGCGTCCGCCATATCCCAACCAGAGCCACCAGAACCGGAGCCAACAACTGTGCCCCATTGTCCATCGTAGAAAACTTCCACTCTCCCAGCACACGGGTTGTCGTCATTTACCAGCCTCAAACGATCTGTTTCAATCACGCAGGATGATCATAATTATAATAATATTCATCGTACTGAACTTAGCTGCCGCATTTGCCTACAACATACACAATGACCGTTCTTTACAGTAGCTTCTGTGAAACACTGGAAGAAATGTAAAGGCTATGACAAAATATCATACCTGATGCAAAGGTAATCAATGATGGGACTTTCGCAATGCTTTTCCGAAAAATATAGGTATGAAGTTTATGCAAATATTAGGTTTATTTACCATTTGTACCTTTAGCGGTGTGTGGGACAGTGGTGCTAGGCTTCCATAATTAGTAAACGTGGACTGGAATTAAGGTGTGGCTGACGGAACGGAAGCCAGGTTGGAGAAAGTTGTAAAACAATGAGATGATTCGAACATACCAAAGTCGTGTTACTGAGGTTTGTATTAATGTGGGATAAAATAATGTGGGGTAGTGGTGATTCGCGACTTCTTTTTCGACAAGACTGTCAATGAATATATTTTAAAATTGTCATGCTCAGAAGGAGGACAGGAATCGCCTTCAAGTTCCCTCCAATGTGGGGTTAAAGACAAGCAGATGAAATATTCCTCGCAGTTCAGTATTGTGTGGGAGAAAAATAACTCGAGGACAGACTCAACATGAGGTGAATTGAATTTGTGGGTTGGGTCAACATCAACAGCAACAGCATCTTGAATTTATGTAGCGCCTGTGACCCAGGTAGAGTCTATGAGGAATTAATATGGTAGAGGTTGCCCTGGAACTCTCGAACTCTCTTCCGCAATGCATCCTCCTTGTCTCCTCTTTTGGATCACATCGGATGACCTACGTGTTCGACCTCCCTCTTTTCCGCAGTTGGTGCACTGCTGTCACAAGAGCACTGGGACGCAACCCTGCACGAGGGGCGTTTTATAAATGCAAGTTGTTGTTGGATAGGTTGAGCTGGTACACAGCTGGGGATGAGACATGAGTGTGGTGTAAACATCATAGATAGGGGAGTGCCAGATTGCGATGTGAGTGGTGCGTGAGTGACAGGTTCGTGAAAAGTGATCCATTTTGTAAACGGAAGCCAATCGTGCCTGCCAAGTATAAAAGAGGCAGCACATTGCTTATACTGGATAATTAGCTCCTATTATGTCGGGAAAATGGTCCTTAGCTGGACAGATGCTGCTTGAAGTTGGTGGCAAAGTTTTATTTAATTATAATTTATGAATGTTGCGCTGAGGAGCGAATAATTTAAACAAAATAATATAATATTCACATTGTTTTTTAGCTTGAATATCTGCTTGTTGGCCTGAAACGCGAAAGATATCGCCAGTTAAATATTTTACAAAATTGGAACGGATGATCAAGTCTTCTGAACTATTCAAACTTCCGCAATCGTATTTTCGAAAAATAAAGGGTAAGCCGAGGCTGTGCCCCTTCAACTACTCATTGTTGCGCTACTGGTCAAATAGAAAGATAGGACTTAAATTTAGGTGATAAATAATAACGAAAAATTAATAATCCTTGCATATTATACAACGCATTTCACGTCTTCTAGTCATCCCAAAGCACGCTTAATGAACCACAACAACAAGATTCCATTTATAGAGCGCCTTTCACGTCGGGAGGACGTCGCAAGGCGCTGTACGGTTGGGTCAGGAACCGAGCATGGGGGAAGTCGTCAGGGTGAGGGAAGGGAAGGGAGGGAGCGAGGAGGGGGTAGAAAGTCGAGAGGGGAGCTGAAGGCACGGTCAAAGAGAAAGTTCTTGAGACCAGCCTTGAAGGAGGAAAGGGAGGAGGCAAGGCGAAGGCACTGGGGGATAGAGTTCCAGAGCCTCGGGGCTGAGAGGCTGAAGGCCCGGCCACCAATGATAGGGCGGTTGCGGCGGGGGGGGGGGGGGGGGGTGGAGTAGACGGGAGCCAGAGGAACGGAGGGTACGGGCAGGTAAGTAGGGTGATAGTAGGCCGGAGTGTCAGGAGAAAGCAAGGTCGTCAATTGTAGGTGAGGATGAGATTCTTGAATTCGATCCTCTGAGGGATGGGAAGCCAGTGGACGCGAGCGAGGGCGAGGGTGAGGGCGAGAGTGAGGGTAAGGGCGAGGGTGGGAGTGATGTGGTCACGAAGCCTGGTGCGGAACAGTAAACGAGCTGCAGAGTTCTTTTGTGGAGTCCTGTAGCTCAGTGGTTAGAGCACTCGCTTTGCACGTGAGAGACCTGAGTTCAATTCCAGGCAGGGCGAAACCTTGGGCAAGTTTCCTTACTCCACACGCCTAATAATAATCCCTCCAAAAACAAAAAACAATAATAAATTGGTCATTTTCAATCTACGACTGTTTGTGGGACATTGCTGTGCGCAATTGGCTGCCGCGTTCGCCCACAAATATACAGTCAATTCACTTTGCAGTGTGTTCTGTGAAGCGCTTTGGGACGTCCTCTCGACGTGAAAAGCGCTATATCAAATGCAAGGATTATTATTATTATTAATGACCTGCAGCTTGTGGAGAGAGGTCCCGCGAACGCCGGCGAGGAGAGTGTTCCCATAGTCCAGCCTTGAGGTTTTAAAGGCGTGGACCAGAGTTTCAGCAGCTTGAGGGTTGAGGTAGTGCCGTAGTCTGGCACTCCTGCCCCCACACCAGTTTTAAGCCTCGTCTTTCATATACATTTCTATAGTGATACGTAAGCGTTGAACCTCAGCAATTCTTTCCTCCCCTCCGTCCGGCCACATATGGCTTAAGATGAGACAACAAAAAACAACCAGAACAATTTAGAGATATATGGCACCAGTTGAAACACACAATGATGCCGTTATGTCTACAAACTTTCTTGTAGACAAATCTACATCCCAACAACTTGAATAAATTAATCCAAATAATTTAGTTAGAGCGAGTTGTTTTGAACACAAAGTGCCTATCTGTAGCTCTGATAGATTTAAAATCCATAAACGTACTGTAGTGGCAATTCGATGAACACCTAATTTATCATGATTTTAAAACGAAACATGTTTTAAATCAAGAAAATATTCAGTTGTCTGGCACTAAATGTGTTTGAAGTTTTCAGATTGCTTCAAACGAGAATCACACAAAGCAATAGCACCCGACAGAACACAGTGCAGCAATTACTTTTGTTGCATTTTCCTCCTCTTACCGCATAGGCTTTCATAAACATTCTTTCATTAACTTGTTTAATATTTTCCTCATTTATTTTTGGTTAGCCTGCTGTCTGACACAATCAGAAACCCATCACCAAGCTAAAGACAGTCCAAAGCAAACGGACATTTTCACACATCACACCCACATATGGAAATCTCAGATGAAGGTTGTTGGAATGGAATGCACATTCTCTCCCTCGAGGGACACGTCCTGTTTACTTAATTTCTGAACATATTAGTTCCAGTTTGAGGGGCGGCGTAGGGTGTTGGCTGGCGTGCGGGAGCGTGGGGATAGGGGGGTTGGGGGTTGGGGGGTGGGGAGTGAGTGGCACCATGACACGCAGACTAGGGATTAAATAATAATAAACTGACAATCTGTGGAATGCAATCTCTATCAGGATTTCTCAAACTGTGGTTTGCTGAAATATGAGGCCTGAAAAATATGATCGGAGATTGAAACATTTACCTGAGCAGATGACGCCGGCGTCATACGAGTGTGAATACCACATAGAATAGTGACCCCAGGTCTGTGACTCGCAAGCCCTCAGAGTAGACTCGGTCCCTCTGCACTGGACATAATAGGTGACAATGGGACCTGAGCCTTCGCCAAAGTGAGCGTCTGCTGAAGCTGACAGCGCGGCTCCACAGCCCAACTCCTTACACACCACAGCCACCGCCTTCATATCCCAGCCACGGCCACCAGAGCCATAGCCATACACTGTACCCCATTGTCCATCGTGGTAAATCTCCACTCTCCCGGCACACGGGCTGACTCCATTCGCCAGCCTCAACTGATCTGCAACAAGCATCACCAACAACATGCCTTTGAATTTGATTTCCATTTGCGCAGGATAATCATAATTATAATAATAAAACTTGTACTTAATCGGAAGCGCTCTGAGTCGCCGTCCGGCATTGAAGGCGCTATATCAATCCTAGTTGTTTTTGTTGTAGCTCTTGCATTTGCCTACACAGTCATTGCTCCTTACAGTAAATTCTGTGAAGCGCTGGAAGAGTTGTGCAGATTGTGTCAAGGCATTATATCTAATCAATGATGGGACTTTAACGATGGTTTTCAGAACATGATAGATTTAATGGAGGTGCACATTCCACATGTCCTCATATGTTAGGTGACATTTATAGGCTTAGCGGAATGTGGGACAATAATAATATGTTGGGATAATTGACACGAGACGAAAGTTAAACGTGCAATGGAATCGCGGGTTGGATGGTTGGATGAGAGAGCAGTATGGGGAAGCGTGTAAATTATGAGACGGTTTGAAGTACAGGACTAGGATATAAAAATTGTGTTACTTAGATTTGTTTCAATTGGTTCTTACGTAAGGTGCAGCAAGAGGGATCGCGGAGTAGATCCCTTCAGCTTCCATTTATACACTTTTCTCAGTGAAAGAATCAGTTACTCTACATTAAAGTTTTCATGTTGACATGGAAGACATGAATCGCCTTGAGCGTTCCTGAAATATGAGGTTAAAATTCAGACAATCAAAGGAATTACTCCTCTGAATTCAGTATTGTAAGGAGAGAAAAAAGACCAGGACAGACACAACGTCAGATGTATTGAAGTTACGGGATAGCACGTCACAGAGAAAAACAATATCTTCCTGTCTTCTTGTATATATGTAGCGCCTTTCTCCCGGAATAGCGTCTCTGAACAATGAATTGTGCAGAGCTTGTCCAGAAACATTGCAACACTCTTCCTCAATTCCTCCTCCTTGAATCCACGTTAGCTTATACAGGAAGAGCTTCTCTCGATCGGTGTCCAACTATTCCAGGCGCTACCGTGCTTTCGGGACTCTATGTAAATGCATCTTGTTGTCGTTGAGGCCGAAGACAGTGGACAGATGGGGCTGGTCGAGGAGTGGGATATATGCAGGATGATTATTAGGGCATCATGTGTGTGACACTTGAGTATCAGGGATCGTTAAAGATGTCCGTTCTGCTAATGGAAGCCAATGGATCTTTGCAAGTATAAAAGCTTTAGCAAGCTGCATGGACAGCCCTTTGGCACCTTTAATGCCGGAAAGGTGGCTCTGGGCTTCGGTTTGGTGGTGCTGTTAAAGATTTGATTTAATTGTATTCTATGAAGTTTTTGCTGAGGAACGAATAACTTATCCAAAAAATACTCACCGAGTTTCTTAACTTGACTATCCACTCGAGGACCTGGAACGAGAAAGTTTTTGCCAGTTACATACTTTTGAAATTTAGTTCTCATGATGAAGTATTATGATCTATTCAATCTCATTCTCCATAACATTATTTTTGACAGAGAGAGAGAGTGAGCCACGCGGAAAGCCCAGTCGGTTCTATTTCCACTGCTCAACGTTGCGATCATGTCAGAAAGAACGTTCAATTAAGATGATACATATTTAGCGAAATAAGGTCAAAGCCTTCACTCCTGACCGAGCCTGACACAATATACACAGTGTGACTAAATAGTCGTGATACAATTACAATGTCTAGTACGTCTCGGAGAAATGGTGATAAAATATATTATATATATATAATATGCATATTCAACGTATTTATATATTAGTAGTATTTATACTACAACTATAGTAATCCTTGCAATAGATATTGCGCCTGATCACAACATTGAGACTCCGCAAAGCGCTTCACAGAACATGCTGTGCAGTTTAGAGAATGTGCCATTTGAGGGTTAAACGCTGCAGCAAATGTGCACCGCAGTATCCCACAACAGGACAAAAATTAAGTGACCAAATTATTATTTTGTAAGGAGATTTGACGTCTTCGAGGTGCTTGTATGGGTGGTTGTGTCGGTGTATGTGTTAGGGAGAGGGATGGGGTCGAAACCACAACCTCCTGACTCGGAGGCGAGAGAGAGTGAGATAGAGAGAGAGAGCAACAACCGGAAAATGCAACCGAGGACGAAAATTAAAAATTCTTCAGCTGGAAACTTATTAGCTGTAAATATATTAGTAATTTTAAATCAATTTTATAATTTATTAATCGCGTTGTCAAAGATATGAAAGATTGCAACTAGCGAGGACTTGCTTAATGTTAGATGAAAAAACAGATCTTTCTATATCCCGTTGAACTGACTTTGCAAACTTAAGGATAAAGGATGTTTTTAACATTCACCATGAAGTATCTCGTCACTGAGACGTCTGAAACCGCTTTACAGAATATAATGTAACGTGCAATGACTGTGAATTTCTGCGGGTGAAACGCAGCAACAATTGTGCACAGCAGTATCCCACAAACAATTTTGGATTAATTGAACACATTTTTATTTTTGTGAGAAGATTTGGCTACACCCTCTCAACAACTCTCCTACTCGCGGAAATAACCCTCGCCCGTCTCCCCCCCCCTCCCCCCAACCCAATCGCTGAGCTTGTGCGTTAGCGTGGACGGTGAGGTCAGAGTCTCCGACGTGCGTGTGTGTGGTTGTGCAGTTGAGTGAGTGTGTGCCTTTTGAGGGTTGGTGGGGGACGTTTCGGGAGTCAAACCCACAGTCAAACAAAATTATTATTTTTTAAGATGATTTGGTGTCTAATGCGGCGATCTCTCATTCCCCCTGATTCCCTTTCCAAGAAACCCCCAACCACTGCCGCGTCCCCTCATCGCTGAGCTTGTGAATCACTCAGGACTGGGAGATCAGAGTCTCTGACTTGCGTGTGTGCGGTTGTGAGGTTGTGTGAATAGGTACATTTTGAGGGTTGGGCGTGAGGGTCAAATCTACAACCTACTGACTCGGAGGCGAGAGAGCGACCAAGCGATAGACAGCAGGAAACGCAACCTATAGCGGAAAATAAGACATCTGCAGCTAGAATTTTTTAATTACTAAGGTGTTACTCATTTTAGATTATTTTAATTAATTTATTAGTCATATTGTTATCATTGTTTTTCTTGCTATGGATAAATTTGTGGAATCGCTTCTTGTAAACGCGTAGGTGCATTAGAGCTTCCCAAAGGCGACACACTAAAAGTTGAAAATTAAACATGAAATAATCAGACACATGACTGCATGCAACACTGTTAATTATATAACAACAAAAACGTTACATACGTAAAGTTTCTTTCACATGGGGAGGACGACAGGGATTGGGCCCCGAGCTGGAGGTTGGGATGAGGATGATGGAGGGCAGGGAGGGGAGAGGGAGCTGCCTGGGCAAAAGCGCGCCTGAAGAGGAGCGAGTTGAAACGTGTTTTGAAGGAGGCAAAGGAGGGAGCGAGATGAAGAGACTGTGGAAGCTCCAGGTATTGTGGGCAAATGAGCTGAAAGCCGATGTTGGTGCAGGCCGGGCGGGGGATGTGGAGCAGCGCAGAGCCTGCTAGGAAGCGGACACATAATAACAGTCGTTGGGATTTTTGTACTTTCAACAGTATCAATGTGCTGAATTCTTCATTATTGATGCACCTAATCTATAACTGAGAGCAATACTGCTTACAATCTCAGTTACTTAAAATCTACTTTTAAAATATAAAATGTTCATGAATATCTAAGTCCTTCAGAAGTCATTGCCGATTTCATAGTTGATCATTTTCGTGCAATAAGAGTCGCATTGACAAAGATTTGAAGGATTGTAACTTGCGTGCACCTGCTTAATGTGAGATGTAACAGCAGATGTTCATATTTTCTGTTGCTTTGACTCACAAGCTTAATGGTAAAGTATGTTTTTAACATCCGACATCAGATTTCTTCAGTCACCAAATTATGAACATAAGAATACGACCTCAATTCAAACTAAATATTTCCAAACAAAGAAAGTTATTGTGAAGACTGCCCATTTCTAAATTAATGGGATGTCCCCTCGATTGACATGGAAAATTGATTCGTGCACTGCATTCACAGATATTAAAATGAATTTTAAAAAATTATATAGCTGTAGTCGGGTGGTTTAGGGCCTTCTAAATTATATAACATTTTACATCCAACAAATCAATTTAATGCTAATATTGGATAGATAATAGGTCACCTAAATAGAGTGCCATTATAATCACATGTGTTTGTCTGTTATGACCTATATTTTAATTAATCTACAGAATGACCAATAATTTGACACTGCTACATCGGCTTTCACATTGAGATAACGTCTCAAACAGCCTTACACAGCGGGAAGGGAGGGGGAGCTGCGGTGTGGGAACTGAGGAAGGAGGAGAGAAAGATGACCAGAGTCAGGTCGAAAAGGAATATTTGAGGCGGCTTTAAACGAGCAAACGTGGAGGGTGAAAGGCTGCGGGAGGGTATGGCTGACAGCGGGGCCTGAACAGCTGAACCCTCGTGAGCAGATGGTGGAGAATTGAGCTGCCGAGGGAGCAGTCAGGCCGTGGAGTTTGTCGCTGATGTTCAGTAAAATGAGGCCACGCAGGGAATTAAATTCAAGGAAAATAGATTCAATCTTCTTTTGGCTCCGAATCCACCACCAACTCCAATTCGAGATATTTTCCACTGGAGAAGTCTGCTCGATACAGATCTTCCCAAAACAAACTACAGACCATCCGGAACCTTGTGGGTCCTGTCCTCTCCAAATAGCCATGTGAGGCAGTGCTGACAGGCTGCCATGGCTGGTGTTGGAGAGGACAAGAGCTGCAGGATCTGGCTGGGCTGCAGGTTGTGTAGGGAAGAGCTGAGGATTCAGGCTGACAGGGCATTGGCCACAAATACTAGTAATAATAATAATGTGATCACTCAATCCACGACTTTGTCGGACACGGCTGTGCACAATAATCTGCGGCACTTCGCTTTAGACTCAATTTACTTGACAGTGCATCATGCGAAGCAGGTTGAGTTTTCTTGAATACATGACCTGCCGCAGTATCAAATGGAAGGACTATTATTATTTAACTCCCCAGACAAACA